CGCTCTAATAATGAAGCTGAGAGCTGATCAGAGTTAATTATCTTCTCAGTGAAGCTCGTTCTGCTCGTTAGTTTGTTTGCTGATGACACACGTGATTCATTCACGTGAAATTACCGAGTAGGATGTGCGCAAGCGGGTCATTTCAGGACGCCGGTTCGTTCACATTAATGACAGATTTGAATCACTTCTGTGCAGGTACATTTTTCGTTCATCAAGGTACAAACAATGTAAACGTACCCTCAAATGTACAGCAATGGTCTTAAGGTCCAGTTGTGTACCTTAAATGCCCCTCCCCCCCATGTGAAAGGTACATATGTGTACCTCTTCAGTACCTAATGTTTTAAAAACATATATGCACTGTTGTATAATACCCTTGAAGGGTACCACCCTAGTGACAGCTTTTTTTTTTTTCTTTTTTTGTGTAAATGTTAAGGATGCATCGAAATTTCAGCAACCAAAACATTATTACTATTATTACTATTCATATAGCTGGAAAAGGTCAGAAGTTGCACTTTTGGTTCTCATCTGAGAAAAAAAAAAACAAACCAAAAAGATTAAATGGTACTGCAATGAAGTGTCAAAATCTTAAACGACAATAATTTAAATGACAATGAGAATCAGAGATTAAAAGCTCTGTTTGTTTCCTTTGCTCTCCTGCACCAGTCAAACTGTTGATCTGCTGCTGCTCAAACTGTTTGAACGCGTGTTGAACAGCAGCGCATCAACAGTAAAACAAAAGTTGCCCAGGTCAGACTATTTTTAACAGTTTCTATGAGGAAATTCATGAGATTCAAGAGATTCATGATTTCTGTAGATACCAGTGTCAAGATTGGGTACAGTGCTCAATAACCTCTCCACTACATGTTTGATACAATGTGAAACCAGTGTACATTTAAAAAAAAAAGGTATCAAACTGTCACTTAATTGTACCATAATCCACTGAAATGATATTTTCTAAGCTGTACTGACTCCACACTCCCCGTCTCGTCTCCAGGCTTTTTATTTTATTGTTCCGTTTTAAAACATTTGGTTATGAAAAGGTTCAAATATATACTTTTCTCTTTTTTTTGACCACAGCTAAAGTGATTAAAACGTGCACACGTCATAGTCACAGGTAGAAACTGAAGTAGTCCAGTGTTACAGATTGTTCTCTGAACACTTTATTCATGTACTGAGGTCAATGTGCCATAATAGGCCAGAATAGCTCCGTGTCACCAGTGGTTATGTCCATAAAGGAGCTTACTGGAAACAAAAACATCTAGTTGCATGTGTGATAGTGCTTATGGTCCTGCAGTGTACCTTCTTCCATAGAAGAACCCTAATGATCTCTTCTACTTCTGTCTTTTAGGAGTGTTTTCCAGATCACAGTGTGTTCTTGTGTTCTCACACTCATTTTTCAAAAAGCCTTCCAGAGTAGGTTAAGCTTCACTGAGTCAGATGTGAATCAGGCCTGGGTCAACCTCTTTTGCGGTGATTATGGTTTTCCCTGCTGAACTTAGTTGAAGAGGGTCACATCTGAGTTCACGTAATCAAGAACCTGAATTAAGAAATTGTTCAAGGAGTAACAATTAACTGCTTATTGGATAGTTCTGCAGAGCCAGGCAGATGGCTTGGCTTGATCCTAAATAGGAAAATTCCAGTTTATGACCTGTTATATTTGCACACATTGATCAAACAGTTGTTCTTGTTCAGTTGGTTTGGGATTTTAGCAATGCAGGAGAATTTGGATTGCATTAAAACTACAGATGAGTCAGGATTTTGGAATATTTGAATAGCCTTGGAAGTTGAAAAATTAAATAAAACATTAGCATTTTCGTATGCAAATTAGCTGTTCTTTAAACTTGTATCTTCTCGTATTAAGAACCATGAGATGTTCACACTCTATACTCCAGCAGAGAGCAGTGTAGAGCCAGCATCTTACGAATTGGTCAGAGCTTCTTATCTGTTAAGCCCAAAGAAGGAAGCATAGGAAGGCTACTGCAGCTGGCTGAAGGCTACTGCACAGCTCCAACTCCATGTTGTGCCGACAGAAGCTCCGGTGCCAGATAGCAGATATTACCGAATGCAGTTATACCACATACGCAAAAGTGCAGATAAACAAGAAGCTCAAACTCATTTTACACTCTACTTGTACAGATTTAATGGAAAAAAACAACTTTCAATATTGTTCAGTGAATTCATCAGTTTTGTTGCTGTTTTAAAGCTAAAAAGTATGAAGTATGAGGTAAAATACAATTTGACTAGCCTAGTAACATTAACTGATGTGAAAACAGACAATTAGCGTTTGTCTATTTATCTTAGATGATGCTGAGGGGAGTTAATGTCTCTGACGTCCATAAGACATGTCCAGTGAGCAGTGTCCTTTGGCCTTAAGGGTCCTGCGCTACTTTTTTGTGGTGGGGAGGACTGTTATTCTAATATTTTTCAAATAATACCTTACACATTTGAATATCAAATTTGAATAAAATATCCCTCGCTAGTTTAAACCTTGGATATACAGTGCTCAAATAAGTCTTGGGATACTCTCTGAATACAGTTTATATCTCATTTAATTTTTGCTTTTCTAGATCAATTTATAATTTCATTCATGTCCATCAGAACAACCAGCAACGACAAAAACAGAACCAGCTGAAACTCAAAACGATCTTGGTAATTAACTGAACACTGTAAGGCCATTAAAGCACTCAAACATTAGTGTCTCAGTCCTCTGTGTCAGTCTGTATAGTATTTCATTTAGGTGAATATTTTGCATATCCTTTCTTTTGGATAGCTTGTAGTCTTTTGGGCATAAAGAGCATGTGTTTGCACAACTAATGCTCAGCCAGGCTTGATGACTCTTCTCTTTTGGATGTTCAGAGCATGGCAGGTCTTGAAAACATCCTGTCTCTATCACTTCGGTGCATTTTTTTTATTTTGGAATTTTCATTATATCTATACTCTTTCAGGCTGTTTATTGCCAAGAGATCATATTTTATCACATTAATTAAACTCAATATTAATTCAACTTCTTGATTTTCTCTATCTTTAGGAGCGTTAATGAAGTTTTGAGTTAGGTGTGTTGGATTGTGCGGTGACACTTTATTTTTAGTGGTCCTTTTAGATGAAACCAACACTTAACGGACTCTCAGTAACATATCGACAACATATGAGTGTTAGGATTATGTTTTGGGTTGAGGTTAAGGTTAGGGTTAGGATTAGGGCCAGGTTTAGGATTAGGTTTTGGGTTGAGGTTAAGGTTAGGGTTAGGATTAGGCCCAGGGTGAGGGTCAGGTGTTGGGTAAGGTTGGTAAGGTTAGGCTTTGTGTAATGGAAGTAACATTATTAACAACACATCTACTTAATGTAGGTAATGTATGAACAGAACATCTGCTACAAAGGACCACTCCAAATAAAGTGTTACTGGTTGTGCTTTGGAGATCTCTGGTTTGAAGGTGCCTACATTTGTCCAAACATTTGTTTTGGGGGGTTAATTAAACATTTTTAGTTTGCTACTGTTCAGTTGTAGCCAAAGTATTGAGGTCATAATATAGCTGAAATAATGCACTTTTGAATATAGTAAAGCACAATTATCACGACGCATCAATATACTGAAAAATTCTAAAAAAAAAACAAGTAATGATGGAACTGTTCCAAAACTGCTTCTGAGCACATTAGAAACCTGGTAGATGTCGCTATGGTGTTTGTATGCACATAATCCATCCATACACAGTGAAGTTCTGGCTGGAAAAGAAAACCCTGTGAACCCTAAATAAGGATCACACATACAGACATATACTGTTAAGCACACTGTACGTAACTGTGGAAGTAGCCGTTTCTCTGCCACAGGCATATATCCAGTCTCCGACATGTGGCCAGTGCTAGTTGTTCTGGGTATGATTTGATCCACACTGGGATACTTTCTGCGCAGATATCTGTAGTTGGAGCCAGGAGGCTGTGGCTTTCTCCAGCTACTCGTTAAACATAGCCTCCACTGTGCTCTTATGGTTAGTGCAGAAGAATGATCAGGTGCTAGAGGCATAGTGGCTTGGCTCGTACTCACCTGGCCTTGTTTGGGAGCACCTTGTGTCAGTGTAATCGCATTGGAAACTCACCCAACACTTTCGTAATGCATCACAGGAGATTTTTGCTCTCCGCAGTACACACTTTTCCTCTCCCAGTCTCTCCTGCTTTGTTTTATACAGGCTTAGTGTAGATCTAGACACATGGGCCCAGAGGAGCACTAGGTAGTGCTTTCCTGGAAACCAAACATGGGACTTGCCTGTCGTATCCCACAACTCCCGTTTATAACTCATCAATTACCTCCCCGTATTCGATGTCTGGCTCGCTCTGCTGTGCAGGCGAGAGGGAAGAGAGCTGCTTTCTGGGCTGCTGTATCACGATTCGTTAGATTCTGCATAAAAGCATATTGGCCTAGTTACATCCACATCTGCTCTGTATGCAGGGAGAGGGAGAGGGGAGGTGTGTCATATTTTTGTGATCAACTCAAGACGATGATTGGTAACTGATCTGCCCATGACGTTGCCAGGACAGAATCCAGACATCGCAGCCACGTAAACAGGAAAACACTCGCAACGGGCCCACAATGTGCTCCTCATTGAAGCTGAACGGGTACAAAATCTGTTCCCCGTTTGACATGACTGAGCTCATAAGCGAAACAGTCCCCTCCATCTACAAAAATGTTTATTTTGCTTTTGGGTGTTGCTTTGTGTCATCTTCACTCTTTCTCATCCTCCAGCGCATGATAAAGGGGGCAGTAATGAGAAAAATCCCATGACTAGGGTAAAACATGTGGTTGTCTATTTGCAACAGCTTGGACATCAGTCCGCCACAATATATTCCTATCAGCGGTGATTTGTAAACAAGCACTTATTGATTCTTTGTATAAGGTTTTCTGTGTACAAAATGTGGGATACGGTTCCTTCTTTGGGGCTTCAGTGGTGGTTCACAGAAAAAGAAGTGTCCTCTGACATGGTTTGCCCATATCGCTTGTTCCCCTGCAGGCAGATGAAGGATCAGAGCAAGAAGGTGGCCACCCTTAAACACAAGGAGCAAGTGGAGAAGAGCAAGAATGCTCAGCTGATGGAGGAGGCGCGCAAGCGGGAGGATAACATCAATGAAAGCTCTCAGCAGATCAAGGTAACAATAAATCTTTAGTGCTCAAGTCAAGTAAAGCTTGTTGATCACCGTGCGTGATAGAGTATCGTACGAAAGTTACCCATTCATTGATTATTTATTCATATAATTTTCTTTTTTTTTTGTCTGTTTCTCTCTGAAACCTCGTGAATGAGTAATAAACAATAGATTAGAATTCCAGAACACATTTTGTTGTGACCTATATCACAGTACTAGTGGAAGACTCTTCTCTATGAAAGATGAGAGACGATCTTTTTTGAAGCTTTGCCCTTTTGCTGCTCAAACTGTCTGAACTTTTGACAGGGCTTCACATTCTTCACTCAGATCTAACATAACAGAAGCTCACTGAAACTACCACAGATTTGTTAACTTTAAAGAGTTTCATCATAGCAGATGTTTACCGCCTCACACTCTATCACTCTGTTTTTGTTTCTCTCTTCTCTTGTTTGGATTTTTGTTCCAATTCCCCTTTTGAAAATTGCTGAAATGCTTGACAGGTAAAGCGGAATTCTACATTCTCTCTCTCAAATCACATTCGGCAGCTCCTGACCTCTCGTTCCACATTTGGAGTATAAATAAAAGTTTTAAAAATCGTAAACATTTGCACCTACCAACCAAATGCATGTCCTTATTTCTAATCCAACAGATGTTCTACCCATCCTCATCTAGGCCGACCAAATATCCATAGCTGTACTATAGCAGGCTTTTATATGTATCAGGTGAATATGAAATATGTGAAAGGTCTGGGTTTTGGTTTAAATGAATCTCCCTAGTTCAGAATCCAGTCTCTGCCCGAGTTCATTGTTGATGTCAAACACTTGCCGTACAGAAAGTCCCGGCTTTTATGGAGGGACTGTTTTCTCCTTTCCATAGACCTCTGGACAACAAAGCCAAATGCGGCCCCCACTTTATTGTGGGTTTTGGTGTTTTTTCTGGCCTCTCGGCCACTCTTTTGCTCACTCTCTCTTTTCACATTTCTCTTTTCCCTGTATCATCTGTTCTTTGTTTTGATTTGAGTTCATTTTCTTTATTTTCGGCACTGGCAATGCTATGTTATTGGACTCTGACCCGAGGCGCCGTATGTTTGTGTGTCAGTTTGTGTGTGTGAGCGTGCAATGCGGTCAGAAGAAAAACTCATATACAAGCTAGGCCTCCAGGTTCCTTCACGGGGTCATGTTGCCGCTGAGGCCGCACTGTGGTTTTTCTCCCCCACTCGAAGCGCCCTGATGCACCCGCTTTGTGGGCCTGTTCTGGGGGAGAGATGCTGGAACCAGCGGTAGTCTTCCCCAGCCAAGACCAGCAGCCACTGCCTCCCCCTAAAAGACACCGCACTTTAGTCTTGAGCTCCAGAGAATCCATATCAGAATAAGCCAGGAATATTGGAACTAGCCTCCACATGCTATTGGCCTCAATGGGGGTGTTTGGAAGGGGAAACGATTGTTGCTGATGATTTGAATGGTTTTTGCATTGGCTCGTCAGAGCGGTCGGTCAAGGCAGATTGAACAGGGTCACCCCAGGACACCATTTAGGGGGCCACAGAGCAATAACCCTCTTCTTTCCTGTTTCCACCAGCTCTGAAGAAAAAGATTCCTCTTATGTTTCAGCTAATTGGAGACGCTTCCAGAGGAACCGAGGAGTAGAAGCGGGAGGATATGGGGGTCAAGCCCTCGAGCAGGGTGATCGTGTTCGGGAAGCTGCTGTTGACTTTGGAGAAGGTGACGTGGTCAGGGGGGACAGAAGGGGATGAAGCGCCATTGAGTCTGAGGCTCAATTCAGCTGCGTCTTCGCTCTATCGAGGATCTGGGGGTCCTTAAAGGCGCCAGCGTGGTCAGTCCGTCTGACAAGGCAGCATTCAGATTAATCTAGTCCAGAGATCTGTGGTTCTGAAGCGCTGTCGTCCAGCACAGTTCAGTGATTCCTCTGCTCAAACATACCTGCACTGTTTTTATAAAGGTTTCAAAAAGGATTTTTTGCAACGATGCCATAGTACAACCATATTTGGACCCTGAAGACCCTAAAGAACCTTTTTTATGCATTTGAAGAGCCATTTGTAAATGAGTAGGTGAGTATGAAAAGAAGGTTTAAAGAACTTCCACAATATGTTCTACACCATGAAATCATGTGTCCTGGACAGGCACTAGTCAATAACTGAATCCAGTGTAGAATCACTGAAACAGGAAGATCAGAGTTGTTTGAACTGGGAAACTCCCGCTCAGAGCTAGACTAAGATCCTCCAGAACTGGAGCTGAACACTCTGGATCTAGCCAGATCACCACTCTAGCATGCTGAACACATGGATTTGCATCTCAGGGGTGTAGCTGAAGGGAGAGCCTGGAATGCAGGAGCAGTGCTCTTCAGAAACATCTTTCTGACCTCAAGATTTGGCTCTCCTGTATCAGCCCCTCCCTTTTATTTCAGCCCACTGCTGTGATGAAAATTAACCCAGCGTGGTTTTTTTGGATACCGCATATACGGACCATGAGACTTTTTCCGCCGCAAGTGCTCCCAGACATGCGATACACACACGTGGAGAGTGAATCATCGAGCCATCTTCCCCTTTCCCACAGATTGAATATCGACAGTTTGAAGATGTCAAGACTTTCACTGGGGAAACAAGGGGGAGAACAGGGGAAACGAGTTGACAGTATAATGAAGCACAGTAAATACCAGTTTTACTGCATGGTTGACGATTGGCCCTGTTTATTGCATGGCCCACTGCGTGCTGGAGTGGCGAACACCATGGTTCTTAGCATGCCTTGCAGACAGTGGGCCCTCGTGGCACTCGTTTAGACCAGCTAGTGAGAAATAGAGGAAAAAGTGAATGCTAATTTGGAGCAAGGGGCACATTTTAAGATGAGAGTGAGAGAGGGCGCCGTGTGCTCTTGTCTGGTTTTAACATGTTCAACATTGTAATGTATTTTCCTTAAGTCCTGTGATGTATTTCAGAGTAGAACACGGTTTAGAACTGGCTGAGCTTTTCCTTCACTGATAGGTTGGGGTGGTGGGAGTGGATGAAACACGATATTATTGGTTAATATTGTTTTTCCCTGCCCACTAGTGGAAGGTGATATAATCAAAACTGAGGACAGGAGGACAAAAGTCACTACACTTAGATCAAGTTAAGAATTTTGACATTAAAATGCTATAGTAGGTTGAAGCAAATGAGGTAAAAAATGTATTATTCAGGTTGACTTCATCAGTCAGTATAACTTATATCAGCATGTGTAGCATCATACGTTATGTCTCCAGCTCCAATTTAAAGGATTCAATCATTGCGGGTTCGAGCCCCACAATGCTACAGCCATCTGCGGCTGGGAGTCCAAGATAGCACAGTTGGCCTTACTCTCTCTGTGTGGGTGGGATTCTCTTCGAAGCGCGTTCAGCTGTCCAATGACGTTGCTTTAGCAGGAGTTCGAAAAGGATGAGGTGGCTCGCTTCACGTGACTCGGAGGAAGCTTTTGTTTGCCTTCACTCTTCTAGCGCTGGTGGTATCATGTGATTAGGGGAGTACTAAGTAGGTGAAATTGGATATGACTAAATTGGGGAGGAAAATTGGGGGGAAAAAATCCCTGAAAAGAAAATCATAATTTTTCTTCATTAGAAGTTTGTATAGAATATTGTGAGAAATTTGAATAATGAACACAGTATTGAAAATTGAATCAGATCATAAGCCCCAGTATATCATTACACCCCACTGTTACAACTTGGGCTTGTGAACTTGCGCTTATGTACCTAATGTATTGTTTATGGCATTAGAAGTTTTGATCTGTACTGTAAAAGCCTTTAAAAATCTTCTCACAGTTACACGTATAAAAGGTACTGGCATACAGAATGAAGAGTCCAATTCAGGCGTGTACACGTGCATTTTAACATATGATGCTTGATGATGATCCATAATACTCTGCAGACCAAACATCAACACTTTCGCCGTGCTTCACTGCCGTGGATGGTAGCACTGCAGCTGCTTTTATGTGAGGAACCTGGAAGAGACTTACCCGCCAAAAGCGAGACCCAATAGGTAATGGCAACAACACTGGAGTTAATGAAGCTGAAGTGCTTAGGGCGGATCGTGGCTTTATGGGCCTTTTTAAAGATGCAGATATAAAAGAGTCAAACGGAAGCCTTTTATGACTCACTGGGAGACTGCTGCTGCTTTTATGTGAGGAGCGGGAGAGTACTCCTCTCCCTGGGGGGAGACCTTTTTCATCCTGAATGTCATTTTCTCTACCTGCCACAAGAGCGTGGCCTCGCCGCAACATTCACCATCCATTAGGAGGCTATAGTTAGCTCAGGACAATTATCACAAATGGGCTGTTTTTTTCCCAGATGCTGTGCAGTCAGGGCTGTTGAGAGTTGGGCAGCTTCGATAGCTGTATTTTTTTATTTATTTTTTTTTTTAAGGTCTTCCTCACCACAAAGATGTGCTCATGTATGTGAAATGGGAACAGGCATGTTAGACTCTTTAACTGGTAACACAGTAACCTTTGAGTACCTTTAAGGGTCAGATTATCTCAGTATGCGTAAAGGAACAGCTCCTGACATTGCTGTTAATGAATGAACGCTAACAGTTTAATGTTATGCAAATCTGACCTTGATGAGTGCCCCCTACCAGCTTTCATTCATTGTTAGCCGCATTAGCGTTTTTGATTAAATTACTAAGTCTGTTAGACACCGTAGACATTTTTCCATTTTTGGAACCTGGAACTAATTGATCTGGTATGAATGTGCAATGAAATCTACAGTTGTATGCAGAAGTTTGGGCACTCCTGGTCAAATCGAATGTTTAGTTGATTTTCTGAGCCTCATTTTTATTTATATATTTAGGTCTGCTGACTGTAGTGGATGTGTTCACTTGTTTTCACCAAGAGATTTGCCAGGGAGTCCAAACTTTTGCATATGACGGGGTAAAGGACCATTTTAAAAAATTACCAACGACACTAGCCCTCCTGGTCATGCTTAGCGTGTCAGGGGACTGAAAGATGAGTGTGGTCAGTTTGTTCTTT